GAGGGGCCTGAAACCTCAAGGCTCTGCCTCCCATTCTACTTTCAAGTATCGTAGGAACCAAAGATTTTCCAGGATGAATAGTAAAACTGATTATTTTGCATAAACTGGCCCTGAAGTAACCAGTGCACAAGTGACTGAGTTAAGAGTCAGCACAAAGCAAAGTGAAAAGAAAATAAATACAATATTGGTAAATGGCCTGTATTTGTATAGCGCTTTTATTAGAACCACTTCTCACAGCCACAGTAACAGGAGTCTGGAGCCACGCAGCTGTGTGGGGCTATACTTAGGGCAGAGCGCTGCACTGCGAGAGACGCCAGAAAAAGCACAAGCAGCCTGCTGATAATGACCAGTACTAACAAGGTTAAGTTTTACAGGTATCCCACTACCACCTCTATAGTTTAGCATAAGCACAAAGTGAAGCCGATGAGAGCACAGTTTGTAAGTTATTGCCCTGATGCCGATGTGTGGCCATGGATTTCCGTCATAAAATGATGAGCATGATGAAACATGATTGCAAGCAGATGTTATTTCCCTACAAGCAGGTATCCCGACACGCAAACTTAACAACTGCATGTGTAAAAATAAGCAAACAAAGCAGCCACCATATGCTGTTAGGCCCTCTCAAGTGCTAGGGGAAGGACTACCTCTCTTGCAAGCAGCTGCTTGTGAATTTAAAAGTCTACATGTGGGAATCAACCTGATTTTTGACAGGCTGGAGATGGAAACTAAGAGTTTACACCACGTGTGACAGAAATCTAAAGTCAGAGCTTTCTCAAAACCAAAACATGTATAATACTGCAAAAAAGAACAGTGTTAGTCTCTGTTTCTTCTTAAGGTTATATGGAACATGGAAAGTTGGAGCAGTGATGAAGGGAACCAAACCCCACTCTAATAATCTGAGGTTTACAAGAAATGCTTCTTACACGCCGGCCATTTGTTTAAAATGGCCCCAGATGGGGAAACTCCCAGCTTCACGTGAGGCAAAATATGACTTGTTTTCATTTGAGGTACAAATCTTCGACATCCACAAACCCCCAGAGAGAGATCGTGTTTTAAGTGTAAAGTTAGCTGCAAGCTGAAGCAGCTCAGAGACTCACCTCAAAGCCCAGACGGTCTTTCTCCTTCCAGAAGCAGAAGTGTGTCACCTTCTTATCCCAGAATTCATCTGGCTTCACCACGCAGACCAGCGACACTTCAGGTGGGATCACATTCTGAAACAGCATCAACGCCATCATTAGCCCGCTGCTTTTTAAAGAACACCCATAGCAGCCAATGCATTAACGCAGCTTAAGCCTGCGTTGTGCCTGCGGGGACTCTAAATGTGTTTCTACCTGCAACATGAGCACCACAGTCTTCACGGTGTTCCACTGAGACTTCCGTCCATCCACGATAACAGTGAAACCCCGAGCCTTACACTTCTCACTGGCACAGACAAAGAGAGGGAGTGTGTTACCAACAGCGCACGCACACCCCATCATTTACATACACAGTTTCCTGTTTGAGCATCCTTTGGGTAGCCAGCTCACCAAGCTGCTGCTACCGAGGCTACTTTAGGTTTTCTTCACCAGTACAAATGGTAACAAAAATAAAGCCTGAGACTATTTTTTATTTGTTTTATATGCTTTTCACACATTCCCAGCATCGGGTATATTTCTGCTCCTCTTTCAAGTCCATCTATATACCAGTTTGTCAGCTATAAACAACCTACAGGAGCTTAAACAGCTCATCCAGCGCGTGTTGGAAGAAACGAAGCGTGAGCTGAAGAGGCCAGATATGGAAAATGGGACTGAATCACCTGTGGAGCTGCCAAGAATTACAGCTGTCAGATCGTGCTGGGGACGCTCAAAAAGGACGAGTTGAAAAATAGTAACACTTAATAAACTAGAATCATCCTTTAAGCTGGATTTCTACACTTGAGCCACGGGGTTCAGATCCAGCAGCTCCTCGCTGACAAGCCAAAACCCAAACATGTCTAAAAGCATTAAAAGTGAAATCCAACAGTCTCCGGGTGACACAACTGCTCTGGGACACACACCAGACTGTCCTCAGTCGTGTCTCTGTGTGTACCTTGGGATGCTAAGCAGGTAGTCCAGCGTGGCGCTAAGCTCCTCCATGCTGGTCTGATCTGAACTGAGAGGGATGTTCAGAATCAGACCACTGCGCCGGTCTTTACCCCCTAAAGAGTGACAGGCAGACGGGTGGGAGAGGGGAGGAATCAGATTACAGCTCAAACTGGATTGAGGAAACAGGTGTCAATATTTCATTTTCTTTTCTTTTAAATCCAAGTGTTTTACCTGACAAGAAGGCCAGTTTCTTCTTGAGAATGGGGAGGATGGTGGTCGCTTCCATTGTGACAGCAGACATCTGTAAACACACATGCAGACAGTTTTTCCTCCTTAAGTCTAAGGTATCCTTTCTAAAGCTAAAAGCAGTGTGAGTTAGTGGAAAAGAGGCCCACTGTTACACGAGACAGTCAATAAACTCCAACACTAGACCACAGTTTTCAAACCTGCACGATCAGATGTTGGCCCACAGGCTCACACTTTAACAGCTCTGAGGTGCTTGACCAGAATGTGAATGTGCATTAACTACACAGAAATCCCGCAGCTAACGAGTTTACAGCGTCCTTGCAAGTCAGTGCAGGAGCACAGCAGCCATAGGTGATAAAAAACAGCTCTGGGGGTGGCTGCTAAAAAGCTGCGTCCAGCTCCGAAGTGTCAGAGCAATATCAGCGAAGCAGCACTGTGATTTTCGTGTGCGGATTTTCTCTCAGCTGGCGCTTCTCCCGGCCGATTCAGATTCTTGGCTCCGGCCTCGGCCTGCGATTTACTGCCCGCCTCATCGGCATGTCAGCGCGGTTCAAGCAGTCAGCCAGTAAATCAGTCAGTTTGCATTTCTGTCAGCTTATCGGCCGACTTAACATCTGTGGTGATTTTTTTTTAACCCCCGCCCTTTCTACAGTTGTTGCATTGTTTCTCACACTCTCCTATTAAAGGCTGTGCTCCTTTAAAGAACAGTCTGGGCTTTTCAGTTAATTACAGCAGTGCTGGAGGACTTAATGTAGGCTCTACAGAAAAATGTCAAACTATTCCTTTCTTATTCCATCTCAGTGTTTTTGTAGATTTAGCTCCTTACCATCTAAGCTGCTTTCTGTTGCTTGTAATTTGAGACACAGCAATCACCCCCATGCAAGCCATAACACAGGATTGCAACTCCTTTAATTTTAGTGTAGTGTTCGGATTTATTCAGTTACACAGGCATGCTGAGTGCAATCATGCAGTTCACATAGTGACCTTGACGTGATGTGGCACACAGACACTCAGCACTTTATCGAGCTTCTAACTTGGAGTTATATTCAAGCTTTGTGTTTGCAGTATTCTTGTTTTTGGCCTTACAGTGAGTCATGTCGATCTGGTGTCTGGAGAGCTGTGGGGTCCTTGCTTTATTACATCTGATGATCACACAGTTCTGACTAGTTGAAGATTTTGAAAAACAAAATTCTTTCAGTCATGACATATTTTATCATTTTTACCTCTTTTTTTAAAAAAGTATAAACTCATGCTCCACTATCTTCTGTTACCGTTTCTGTGCTACTCCTCTGCTAAACTTTGCGTCACATTTATGATTTGGCACAAAGGTGTTCATTGTGCTATTTGCAGCAGATGTAGTATTAGTTAGATTAAATGATTTGGTCCCTGCAGCACCAGTCTGTGTCTATCTCCTCCTGGTGCTGCTGCTGATGGGGCTTCACCTTCGTCCTCCTGCAGCTTATCCGGCCCAGCTCGGTGTGTCTCGGCCCACAGACACAATGACCTACATTCACAGCTGCAGACTGCGGCTGCTGCAGCCGTAACCTCCCCTTCACTGCAAACCTCGACCCGCCCAGCCTCGGCAGCTCCGGGATCCACAACAGCAGCTATCGATCCCGCACGTTTTCTTACCTTTTCAGTCAAATCTGCGGCATTTTCCCTGTCCCGATTTTTTTCCTCCTCCTAGTCCCCCCTCCTCTTCTCCTCTGTCGCTTCTTCTCCTCTGCAGTTTTTCCCTTCTTCCTCTCTCTTCCCTACTCCTCCTCTTCTGTGTCCTCTCGGGCGGATTTATCAGCAGATAGTGAATCTGTTCTCCATGAAAAACACCGAGGAGCTCAGCGAGCTCACAGTACGCTTTCAACACCGCTGCAGTCCTACTCCAAACACACACTCACAAGGCAGGCGTTGGAGCTGGCTGTTGTGCGCAGCCTCAGTGTAGCCAAATCGAAGAACGCGACTTCCGGTGAAAACGACTTTCCAAATAAATGCCTGGAGGAACAATTTCTCACCACATTTTATAGAGGAGCCAATGTTTACTTATGCATTACTTATCAGCATTTATTTACAACCACGATTTGCACACTTTTGCCCTCTTGTTTTTTTCGTTTGTTTTTTTCAGAAACATTGGAAATATGTTGCGTGTGTGTAAAGCTTTATTTCCCCCATTTCCTCAGTATTCATTTTACATCAGGGCACACACGTGGCCACTTTGCTAAATAAATAAATATAAATACAAATATAAATATCGTGGTACATGATAAATCTGTAAAAGTACAGAAAAGGTTCCGGTAGTTCAGTGCAAAGAATATCATGTCATGTAATTATACAACTTTTTCAACTTTTTCTTAATTGACAGAAAAAATCCTTGAAAAACAAACAAACAAAACTATGGACCCACTGTGATAGTGGGGAAAAAAGAACGTTTAATTTAACTGTTTATCTGTGAATTATTACATTGGTGTAGTAGAAATTCTAGTCTGGCACCCATCCTCTATGGGAGGTTTCGTTTTGTATTATATTATCATTATTATAATTATTATTATTTACTTCATTTTGATTTTTTTAAATTTACCTTTTATTGGTTTCAGTGTTAGTTTTAGTCTTTATAATTATTATTGTATGGACGGGATAGAGAAAGAGAAAATACACACAACAAGTCACATTTTTTTCTTATCAGGATTATTAGGATTTTATTATTAATATACTGTTCTTATCATCATCTCTATTATTATTGTTATTTCTATTATGTAACCAACAACAATCCAAAGCATCAGTAACCAATGCAAGCACTCCACCCTCAAGTCTTTTATGGTAACTCCTTAATCAAAGTCTTTTTATTTCATCAAAATGATATAAAAAAATTGTAAGTTTTAAACACAAATTTTAAATCGTATAATCCAAGCATAGCAACTGCTCACACGACTTAAATTCAAGTTGATTTAAAATTTTAATTTTTTTCTTTTTGTTGTTTCACTTCCATATTCCTGCTCAGGATGAACAAGTGTTTTTGTGGTAATTTCCGCTGCGGCCTCACAACAAGAAGGTTCCTGGTCTTCCTGGTCTCATGACTGGGGCCTTTCTACATGATGAGGTAGACACCGTATAGTTTCTGGGGGGGGGATATATTAAAAAAAGTTTAGAGAATAAAAAGAACATACACATGGTTAAAAATGTGGCTAACAATTGCTAACACAAGACTAGAAAAGCAAATTCAAATAATTTGTTCATTTCTGCATCACGAGCTTTAAAAGGCAGTTGAGCATTTGATCTCAAACAGAGAAGTCTCGCTGACAGCTGGCTCCTAGACCTCAGCTGAATTCCCATCATCCTTTTGGCGACAGAGCCCTTTAAATTTGAACCTGGAAGCCAAATGAGGAGAGCTGCATCAGTTAGGCAATATTAAACAATAGATATTTGATATATATTTGCATTATTTGTTTTGTTTTTTCATTTCAGTTTTTTTCACATTGTACCCACCTTTATTTTTGATATTTCAAAATGAACTGTATATTTCTTATTCTGGTCTCATGACACAGACCTACCCACATAACACTTTAAGACCGCAGTGCAGTAAACAATCAAACCAGATTTCCCTATTTATATATTTTTTATTACAATCCATTCATAGGATATCTATTATATAGAGTGCAGATATGAACGCACCTGAATATACAACCTGCAAAAGCAGCATTACTAGCATAATCAATAGACAAGCTTACTTCTTAATGACTTGCATCTGATCGATGGTATCAGGAAGCGGTTTTCCAAATGACTCCGGAAGGAAAAGGGAGACAAAGACACCGATGACTGACAGGAGACCCACAGTCAACCACGGCAGGAACTCGTAGAACACAGCTGCAGACAAAACCAGAGCCCATTATTCAGATTATTTCTCTGCTACAGACTTCTGTCATCACTGAGCTGCAGGTCAGTTTGTTAGATTTAGAGTTGAGAAGCTGAGCATTAAGGATGCTTTTGTCATTAAAGTGAACTAAAACTTCATCTCTACACAATGACACCTGTCTCATAAAAAAGGCATAAAGGTTCTGTGTACACTACAAAGTGCTCTATTGCAGAATAATTATCCTAGTATGATGTTTACACAAAAGTAGGGATGCTTTGAAAACATGTAAATGAAAAACAGACGGCTATTAAGATCATTAGAAGCCTACAGGGCACCGAATAGAGCACAAGGACGTCGTAACAAAAACATATTGAAACAGAATTAGTTGTTCAATTTTCCATCTGCTGTTTTTTGATGCGCTGCACAATTTTCTCAATCATTTCTCGCTCTTGCCTCAAAACGAAGTTTAGCGAAGTTTTTAAATTTACTTAATTTCAACATTTACTGTCTTGGATTATTTGATTAAAGAGATTTTTTTTCATCATAGCCCACTCCATAGCTTTATTCTTTTCTCAGACCCAAGACCAGTAGAAAGTGTTGGAGAGTAAACTTAGGACATTTTTAATACGAGTATCGTCAGTTGTAACAGTTGTCCCAAATTTAACGTTTTTCTTCTTCTTCTTTTTTTCTTTTGTTGGGGGGAAAATGGGGTGATTGTGATGCCAAATATCTCACCCAGCTGCAATATGTATGGGGTGATAGAGGACCCCACTCTGGAGAATAAGGCAGCAGACGACAACATTGTATTCCTGATGACTGTGGGAGACAGCTCTCCAGTGAGCAGGTGCAGGATTCTTTCAGAAGCCAGGACTCCAAATTTACCTATCAGCACCAGGGTGAGGGTGATGTTGTGATACTCTGAAGGGAGGAGAAGGACTTTAAGCTTATGAGGAGTGAAACAAGTTATTTTTAAACATTTGGTGAGCAGGTTTACCTTCCCTCAAATAATCTTGTTTTGTCTATTTTGTCTATAAATCTCATTTAGGGCAGCACCTCTAACATAGTGGCTGTGTGTGTGAGGCCTTGTTGAAAAGGCTTATTGTGTTGATATTTTTCAACACAATGACAGTTATATTCACAAAGAGAGCAAGAAAAGGACAGTGGTCTCACTTACTGTGCAAAGTGATCTGGATGAGGAAGAGTGCCAGCGCCAACAGCAGGGAGAAGACAATAAAGGACACGCGGCGAGGAAAATATTTTGCGCTAAACCAGCTGACCAAGTGTGCCGGGATATCCATTAGTGACAGCAAGGTGTAGTTCAGAAAGGGGTTGCCATGGAGAGTAGTCATATTGAATGATAATCCAAAGTAGCTCACATTCAAAGAAAACCTGCAAACAACAAGAGAACAAAAAATAAATAAATAAAACGAATCCAGTTAGGATCGCTCAGTCAATTACATCAATAAGCAGTTGTAAAACATGTCAGAGTCACTGATGCCCAAAACCAGCATTCTGAGTTTTCTTTATATTTCTATTCTCTAGTTTTAGTTTCACGTGTACTTCTGAGTGTGGTTTTAGTCTGGTTTATATTCAGTTCGTTGAGTTCATAGATTCATGGGGAAGGCACTCACCAGAGAAACCACACTACGAGTGTGATACTTCGAGTGGTTGTGTTCCTCAGCAGACCCAGGTAACCAGAAACCTCAGGTTGCTGAGGTTGCTGAGGTTGTTCAGGTTGCTGAGGTTGTTCAGGTTGTGCTGGTTGTTCAGGTTGCTGAGGTTGTTCAGGCTGTTGAGGTTGTTCGGGTTGCTGCGACTGTTCAGACTGTTGAGACTGATCAATGTGCCACATAGAAAATTCATTACATTATCCAATGTAGTTTAGTGTGGTACACGTTGGACAAGGATAAGGTCAGAGGCTCTTACTTTTGCTGAGCGAAAGAGGTCAGATGGAAATTCCACTCCGTTCTCCAGAGCAGCAAACCTTAGCAGGAGTTCTGCTTCTTTAAAACGGCCTTTGGACACTAGCCAGCGAGAAGATTCTGGAACCAGCCTGGTGGACAGACAGACACAAATGTGTAGTTTATTAGTCAAGTCAGCACAGGTGGAAACTGAAGAAAAATACAAGAGCCTCCTGCTCCATCTATCTGTGTTTGAGAGAGTATTATTTATTCATCAAGCAGATGCTGGAAAAGTTAGAAATTATCTGGATGCGATGAGTTAGAAATTATCTGGATGCCACGAACGTCTTCTTTTGGCTGTCCCTGTACGGGTGGCCACAGTGGATCATCTGAGCGCCATAATGATAACTGTAAAAATCTGTGAAAAATGTATTTTGCCAGAAGCCAAAGATTTTTTATTTAACACTTTATGCTTGACTGTGACTGAATGAATGAGATTGCAGATACAACCTTGGAACTTTGATCATCAAATCAAAACAGGTTTAAACAGAAATGAGCCTTTAACAACGTTCAGTTGGGAGGAGATCTATGGGGAGAACGGGAACTGGAATAAAAAATTATAAATCCCTTTCTTTTGTCTCAAGATCCCCCAAATGGAAGGAAAAGGGCATCTGAGGAAGTGGAACAAAGTGATGGATGGATGGATGCATGGATGGAAGACTGGATGGATGGATGGATGGAGGCGCACATTTAGTTTACATTAGCTTAACACATTCCACAGTTCAACAAATTCCTCAACAACCTTTTATTTACTGAACAAAAAAAATCTGCTGAAAAAATCAGCAAATACTCAAGAAACAAAAATCCTAGTAGTGTACTGAGGTCAATTTACCACCAAAGGGGGAAACAGGCCAGACCAGGCAAAGCCATTAACACTGATAGATATCTCCAGTTCCTGACTATGTAGGCAGTGCCAGGGAATGCCACCATACCAGCTGAATAGAAAAAGCTCAAAGCAAGGCTGCTGAAGAGAACTCTTGGAACATCAACTAGGAGCTCAGAACCTGTGACGAAAAGGCAAAGTTTAAAGGAAATCAGGAAGTTGTACTTAATGTTATATTACAACTAATGTCCAATAAAATATTTTGTTTTCTGTTATCTGTTTACTGCACATGTGTAAATCAGAAAAGTCAGTCAAAGGTTGTGACTAGTTGACAATACAAGACAAGTGGTTTCCTTTTTGTTTCATTTTAGGTGTTGGCCGAAGGCTTATTACATTAAAAACAGCAGCAGTTGAGCAGACTATCCTAGAAATAAAGAAACACACTTACCAAGTACAAGAAGAACTATGCAAATGCTGACCTGACCCATGCCCACCATGAAGAAAAGCACATTGAAGACGGCCCAGGACTGAGCAAAACTCAAAGCGATGTTGAAGACACTTAGTATGAAAATGGAACTGAACAGAACAGGTTTCCTGCCAAACCTACAGTAAAAATACAGCAAGACAGCAATCAGCCACAACATGGGCACATACAGTTTTCTATTTAGATGTTAATGCTTAAAAAATAGGCCCATTAGCCTCAACAGCCTCAAAATAGGCCCATTAGCCTCAACAGGGCTTTAGCAGCTAGCATGACAGCTACCCTGAGGTACCCCTGAGCAAGGTACTGTCCCTACACACTGCTCCCCGGGCGCCTGCTTAGTGGCTGCCCACTGCTTCACTGAGTGAATGGGTCAAATGCAGAGAAAAAACAAGTAATTTCCCCATGGGGATCAATAAAGTATACATTATTATTATTATTATTATTATTATTATTATTATTATTATTATTAACCAAGAGCAAAAGAGTCATGTGCTCAGTGCACCTACATTAGGATTTATCAACAACAAAATGGAGTTCATTTAGCTCAAACTTAAAGGTAACCGAGATTTGGGAAGATAGATCCTTTATTTTATTTAGTCCTGCATGAGTTAGCTCACAGCTAACTAGCAGACATATTTTAGTGAAAAACATTGCAGGTTTGCTAACTTTAGAGACTGCTTGAGCTGAAACTGTGAATTTACCGGTCAGAGATCTGTCCAGAGAGGAAACAGCCACAAAGTGATCCCAGGAAGTAGATGAGAGAGGACATTGGCTGTTTCCACTTGTTGTCGCACACCAGGTTAAACTAGAAGACAGGGTACACATACGGATGATCTAAAGCAGGCATAAGAACATAGAAGGAAATACTTGGGCACTAATCTCTGTCTTCCAGCAGTCCCTGTGCAGACTGTTTGCTTCATTAGCCTCCATGTTGCTTTGTTTTGATGGGTGTGTAACATGAGTTTGTCTCTGTCCATATTTTACTCCTCAGGCTGTTTGACTTCTTATTCCTGTCACTGTTTGTATGACCACAAGTGGCATAAGGCTAAGGTAAACTTTAGAGGACATCCTTAAGCAATAGCTTCTCATAAATTACTGTGTGATGGAGGGATTCAATGTTGCCTTTACTGACACATCATCTGTAATGAGGTATATATATATATATATAT